AAAATTTCATTTCGAAGAAGAAACTCGAGCGAACCTTTCTTGTACGAGACAAAATCCAACACCGCCATAATGCTGCCAGGGCTTCCAACGTTTCGCCCATTCATTACCCTGCTATGGTTCCCGGAATCCAGCAGCAACGCTGGCTGCACCACGTCCACCACGAATTTCTCCATCATCCCCCACGAAGGTTCGACAATCGACACTGCAAAATATTGAAAATAGGAAGCGAATCCCTCTTTCAGCCAAGCGACGTCCCAGAACACAGGCGTGACGAGATTCCCGAACCAGGTGTGCGCGTATTCGTGGGCCATGGTGGCGATTTCATCGATCATGTACCTCGTAGGCGTTATCCCATCCTCGTACAACACCACCGACTCCCTGTAAGTGATCATACCCCAATTTTCCATCGCGTGGAAGTTGAAATCCGGAACCGCGAACTGATCCATCTTCGATATTGGATCCTCGATCGAGATCCAATTTTTCAGGGACGAGTATATCGATTTCCCGTAATTCAGAGCAGTCGTCCCTCGATTGTTCATCGATCCTCGCGTCCACATTCGAAAGGTTTGCGAGGAGTTTGCCGAAGAGACGAAGTCGTGAAGGGCCCAGCCCAGTTGATACGTGGACATTCGTGGAGTTGGCTCGAATCCATATTCGTTCCTAATTTTCACAATGCGAAGGTTAGAAAAACCTTGTGAAAGTAAGAAAGAAGATTCGAGATTCGATTTCGTGATAATTCTTTCTTTATAATCATTCGTGAAGTAAGTTGAAAACAAGTTACAAATTTCATGGTAAGAAGAGTGAGACTGGTTAATTTAAAATTTCCATATACTTGTAAAGAATCTGTCTTAGATTGAGAACTAGTTTCTTATAAGTGATGGGCAAAATTTAATAGTTGAATAAAGCGACTTTCATAAGTTAGTTCGATTAATTTATTGTTAAAAACGTAATAATAATTCCAAATAATCGTAACTAAAATAATAAATATCTACGAATAAACGTTATTTAAGCATTTTAATAAATAACTCGATGTAACTTTATTCGAATTTAGGAGTTGAGTTAAGAGAAAGAATCGATCAGATGAGAAAATCATGAAAATGAGAAATAATGATTTATAAAAAGAAGAAAAAGTATAAAGAAATATATACCACGAGCTCCTGTTTTTAACTCTAGTGTTACTCGTCGCTGTCTTCTCGTAGACATTAATAGTCAACGAGAAAACCGCTTTCAAATGCGGCTCGTCCATGCATGGAAACGCTCGTCTCGCATAAGTCGGCGAGAATTGAGTAACCGCCATCCATCTAGAAAAATTCGTATCCTTGAAACAAACGTTTTCGTTTTCAAAAAAATTAAATCCACTCGATATACTTCGTCTCGTTATTTTCAACGTAAAAACTCCTATAAAATCCGAATACGTCGTCGCGTATTTCACCCTCGAATCGAATTCGTAGCACGTATTCAACGCCCGGCTCCAACGTTTCTTCGACTTTCACGATGTAAAATTGCCTTTCCGGGTCGTGATATTGGCAAAGGATCGGTTCGAAGAACGTGGACGAATCGTTCGTAGCTCGATAAAGATTCACGTCTTCCTCCGTGATACGTAAACCATCGGTGTGCACCACAACGGTGTTGGTCGGTTCAAGAACATTCACAAATATCCTCACTGATCCTGAATACGTGAAATTTGTTCGATCCTTGTCCAGATGGACGATGTAACTGGTCGGGACCACCTCTTTCGGAAGTCTGTACGACAAGTGATCGCTTTTCCACGCATCTTTTTTGTCCAATAACGGGTTATGGGGGCACACGTTGTACGATGTTGCAAACTCGAGCACGGCGATCGAACACGCAACGACGAAAAATCGTAAGTCGCGCATCATGGTGTTAAACAAAGCGTGTCTGCGCGTTCTTAATAGATGTCACTTTTTCCAACGATCGTATCACTAATCGAATCACGAGCAACCGTTCGCTCGCGAAGTTTATCTTCGATTCTTCTAAGACTTTGTGATAACGATTCGTAATCGTATATCCAATCTTGTCTTAGCCCACTTACTTACTTTTGAAGGACTGTCGATGCGTGAAAGTGAAATCGTCCATGAGCCAATTTTTAAATCGGCTCTTGAATTATCGTTCCTTCCTATTAACTACTTCGAAAAATTTAAGGATATTCTTGATTCTCGAAGGATTAATCACATTTCTTTATTGTTGTTGTAAAGGATCGCGACAGGATATTAATTTGAAGGATCGAAATAAGGGTAAGAAATGTTGATTGTGATCGATTTATTGAGTTATAAAGCAGTTTCTTTTCTTTATTTTTTCTTTTTTTTTTTTTTTGTTATTATGCAAGGGATAAAAAAACAGCAATAATAACGGCGAAAAGTGTTTCAATAAAGTATGTTTCTGTTTTTTTCTTTTTTTTCTTTTTTATTCTGAGCAAAGTACAAAACACGCGTCCAGCTTAAAATCTAACGCTTCATCGTTTTCACAAATTCATCGTGGCATAGCTCATAATAATAATAATAATAATAATAATAATAATAATAATAATAATAATAATAATAGTAATAATA